TCCCACCACTGCATTGCTTTCAATTTGGACTGGTGACATGGGAGCAGAGATAAAACAGTTAATGACCAGAATAAAATAATTAAAACTAACTGGTTGATGCCAATATTTTTAAGACTATAATACTGCACACTATTTTATAAACATCTATGTATCTCAGGTTTAAGCAGAATCTCTGAACGTGTTGTGTCCCTGTTGAACTAGAGTTAAATGCAGGGACATCCAATTCATATTTTTTAAATCATTAATGATCCCTTTCTAATAATTAACACTAAATAAGCTTCATCAATATTCCACTTTCACCTCACCCTCTCCTTTTAATTATATAATAGGGAACAAAAAAAACTAAGACTTGACAAGAACAAATCTTACCTTAATCCAATTTTTCTCTGAAATTTTATACACAAGCAGTGGTCTAATAATTATTGTAGTATAATTTGTTATTGAAATTAAAGTACAGATCATTCATGGAACGGATACTTTTGAACTTCAGGTCAGTATAGGAAATCTGTTTTACTTTGTAGTTTAACAATTAGGCTATTCTTTTATACTACTTCTTCTGTTTTTTTCTCCTTGGAATCCCCATTCAACAAATCTAGAATTATTTAATCATTGTCACATATTTTTATTTTTATATACAGAGTTATCAAAGCTAAAACTTATCAGAAATCATGGACTCATTTCTAAGAACTACAAAAAAGAAAAAAAAATAAATGAAGCTAATTAAATCTAACTAATTTCCCACAGCACCTTTTATATTGTACTGCTCTGTAAATTTTACTCTATTTAAACTTTTCAAGTTCATCTATGTTCTTTTCAAAAACAAGATCTAAAAGACACTACTGTATATCTAACAAGCTTTGTCTCTTTAGTAGCAAAATGCAAATATTATATTATGCAGCTCGTTCAGGTCATGTATTTAAAATCCTGTCTATCTTTTAGTCTAATTAGATTAGCAGCTCACAATCTATAATGAACATTTTTGAAAAAATGAAAATAATAATGTAAGAGCCCAGGTCTCCTACACTTGCAATTTTAAGACTACATACTACATTTTATCCCAGCTCCAAGTAGCTGAGAGATCCATTTCAGTAACTTGTAACATACATCATTTTAAAAAGCAATCATTTACACTGCAGATATACAATAAGGTGGAAATAAATGTTGACCCTATTAATTGGGTTTGAATGCTGTTGCTAACCATGTGTCTTTATTAAATCAGCCACTTACCAAGCAAGAACCTGAGACTGCAAATTTTTTTCTTGTAACTGTAAACACATTTACTCCCCAGTAAATCTCACTGGTTTAGATGAAAGGATTTCAAGAGAAATTCTGTTTAAGGACATAATCCTCAATTTGTAACCATCCAATAAACTGCATTGTAATGATCCTGTAGAAAAGTCAGTTGATTGAAAATACTCAGGAAAAAAAAAGCTGGAGGTCTAATTCTAGGCCTTGAAAGCTCAAACCACCTGAACTAGAGAAATGGCATCATTAAGAGAATTCTATCAACATTTACATCAGTGGTGGGATTCAAATATGTGAACAACCAGTTCTCTGGAAGTCCATTCTGGGCCTGGGCAACAAACAAATTAGCTACCAGTTCTGCCGAAGTGATGCGAACTGGCTGAATCCCACCATTGATTGACACCATTAAGTGAATCAGCCAACTGTGTTAGATACTAGCCCATTCCATCGGTTTTGGAATCACCCTGTTTTCACGGGAGTGCAGAAAACCTAGAGTTGTTCTTTATTCATAACTGCAGTTGCAATTCACTGGAATATGATTTCTCAAGAATAATGCTGCTGTCACTTCCTCAGTGAGGAAAACAGCATCTATATATAACCTCTGAAGCACCCATGGCCTGGAATTATGTGCAGAATTTTCTCATTGTCTTGTCTGAGGAAGGCAGCACGGACTCCTCACTGGGTGAACATTAATGCCTTGCTGCTCAGAAAAGAGAAACAAGAGGCCTATGAATGTAGAGTTCCACCCAGGCTCAGAAACCTAATGATCAAGCCAGTTTATAAAATTCCCATTGATTACTCTAAAACTGACAACTTTCTTTAGGACTGTAGTTCAAATCAAAGTAAATATAATTTAACTTCAGACAGAAAACTGCTAATTATGTATATTTGCATTTTCAAAATATTAAGGACATGAAATATGAATATGTAACAAAATAAAATAATGACATGTGCACTGACAAAAACATATTTTGATACGACAGAATATATAGACATTTTTCGTCATCTCCAAAAAAATGAATTTCAAGTTATAATGTTGAACCTATGGAATCTTACTGAGTGAAGTATTTCATCAGTGAATGATCATATTCTTAGGAGGGCAAACTCAGCCTCAGAAACCAACTTTTTTGCTCATATGGTGAGGCTATACAGCAGATGCACACAATTTGAAAGCTTTAGCAGAAGAAGGCAAATAGTCTCTCTGGACTGTAGGCACCCAAAAAGAAATAATTATAAAAATATAATAAACTGTTTTAGGTGTCCTACTCCACTGATACGTTACATCAGAATGATTATTAAAACAAATACACAAATAGGGTTCACATATTACTTGAATTAGCTCACACAAGTTGCTAAACCATAAACTATTATTTACAAAAAAAAATGACGAAGCTCATATAATATGCTATAACATAACCCAACAAATCATTTTATGGTTTAGCATAACATAAGAATCTATTCACTGGCACTGTAAGCAGTTTGGAAAAGTAAATGCACATATTTTGGAAAAAGAGCGTGCTGATTTCTGATATTCACAAACCAGACAGAGGCACCATAATAAGCCAGAATGAGATCAACATTGCACATGCACCATTATGGGAATGATATAATTGTGTGCTTTCATCATAACTCACTCAAATATTCACATTCTTTGATGACATAACACAAATTGTCATTTTCCCCTCATTGATCTCTCCACACACACATGCAACTGGAAAAACTGGATTTTGAAAACATTAGCAATGGACAGGAGAAGCAATAGATCCCAAAATTCAAAGTTTGTGATGCACGATGCATACCCTTCAAAAATAGATGTCAGTGATAGGAAATTGTCAAGCTAAACCCACCTAAACTGGGGTTAAGAATATATGGTGCATGGCATCAGCAGCCAGAGGATTTGTCATTAGGATGAGGGTTTGAGAGAAAGGGCTTTATTTAGGCTTGGGAAGTCAACTTTAAATGGCGTGAGATAATTTAGACAGAAAAGGAGAAGATGGCATAATCATACTGTTCAAACATCATGCCCTGTTGCTAGCCACTGGTTTTTCAATATTGGTACCTGCTTCTACTCAGGCTTACATCTCTGAAGTGAAACTTAAATGTTGATTTTATTTTCTATGGCTTTGCATCATTTGCTGTTTCTCTTATGTTCTGCTGGTAAATCAGTTCTTCCTGACTCCCAGTTAACTTCATTTGCCTATATTTCTTCAAGATTTTTAGGTTTGAGCCCTGCTATTTCATCAAACCTGTTTGTTCTGCTACCAATCTCTAGTATTGCTTTTTTCTGATTCAGATCATTCTATCTTGACTCTCCCAGAACTCCACCACAATTTTAGTCTAATTGTGATGTCAGTTGTACTTTCATTTTTCTATAGGCTTTTAACTGAAAACATGCTCCTTATATGTAAAAGGAAAAGAAACTCTGCACAAGTAAGTAGGTAATTCACTGCATGTTCTTCATGAATTTTCTGCACAGTACATAATGAAAAAAATATAAAGGGGAATATATATGAGTATGTACATTATCAAACATTCCAGTCTTGAACCTAGTACTTGAAAGGGCCATTGATTTCAGTAGGTGAAATGTCCACTTGGCAAGGGGAAGACTGAAATATTTATATGAATGCAGCAGCATAAACAGTGAATGACCAGTTTTGAACAAAAGTCCAAATTATATTGACTGAAGGCAAAATACCTGTTTTATTAACTCTGCTTTTTGCCAGCTACTGAAATGACTTAAATATGTTCATCAAAATGGACGCAGGCACCAGACCTCTGAGCATGGCCTAGAAATTTGCAATTCTAATTTTTATATACTAAAATTCCACTAGAATTTAGCAATTAGATAAAAAGAAGCAAACAGGCTGCACATTTGAAAAAGCAATAAAATAATCTTATCCCTGCAAGATCCTTTCAGAACGAACGTACATTGAAACTATCAAAAGCTTTTCTTTGCTAAATATACAACTGGCTGGCTATACTAATTTTTGACAATATAATTAGCAATATTATGAATACAAAATGCTGAATATCCACAGAAGGAAACAAATTGCTGGATGAAAGTTAGTATTTATCTTTCAAACCAGTCTTCTAAATAAGGCTCTAGAGATTACTAATCTGCAAAAAAAAAAAAAAAAAAGTTTATTAGCTTTTGGTGAGCTGACAGAGGAGATTTAAGCTTTGAGTGACTTCCAGCAGCTACTGCTTTTCCAGACATTTCTGACAGCCTGTTTGGTTTCTATACTGGAAAAAGAAGGGTGATAGCACATTTCCATTCTCTTACCTACCTACAGTTCTCTCATCTACATGCTATTTCCTGTTCCTAATTAATCAGACGGATTCTTAAATTTAAGGGTATGCTGAAGTCTCCTTCAGTATGGTTGAAATTTCTGCAGACCAACATCCATTGTTTTCTGAAATCCTGACTCTTACTTACTCCATTTAGTTTGTTACTTCCATGTGTTCTGCAACTAAAATTATATCTATATCATATGTTAATTAAGTGAAATATAATGAATAAAATATAGTTTATGATGATTTAATTAAATATGTGTGGTTAATCTATCCTGACATCATGTAAGGTAGAAAATTTCTAAACTAGAAATTTTAGAAATGCTAGCAAATCTCATTAAAAGAGCACTAGCTAAAAGCTTTTTAAAAACACTGTAAATTTCCTTAACCTTTTCAAACTCAACGTGTTATGTATTAGATTATATTAGTGGATGAATTTATATGTAATATGATAAAATATATAAGCTATAAAATAGATACTGTTAATTGCAAAGATACCTGAGATTGTATCTTTCTGGATTATCCTACATTTTAAAGTAATTGTAATTTCTAGCAGCCAAGAAATCTGTACAATGTAACATGTGAATAATGTATGCGTATTTTATATAAACAAGTAACAAAATATATACATGAGCAGATAACTTTTAGGAATAGGAATAGTCATGTGAAAATGGCTGACAGCAAGCAGAACCAGCTTGAAATATATCGCTATCCAAGAGGCTATAATAAAAGGTACTAAAGATAAACTTCAATGTAATATCTTGCAATAAAATCGAAAATGCTAGAACCCATTACATGTTATCTTAGACTGGAAACTTTGAATTGCATTATTTTGGCTATGTAAGCATACATTCAGGCCAAATCAAGAAAGCAGAATAATGTTGAATACAGTGGTACATTCAATGTCCCCACATTCCAGTTGGAAATGAGACTAGCTAACTGAAACAATTCTCATAAACAAGACAAACATTTTATGGTGTGCTGGTGAACAGTGTAGCTGGTGTAGGCTGCAATACACACACAATACACAAAACACTCCTATCATGCTGCAAGAAGATTTTGCCAGAAGATGTTTTTCTCAGCATCCGATCTATTGCTCTTTAGACCAATCCAAAGAGCTATAAATGGTGGACTCCAAATGTGCAGCAAGGTTTTGAGTCACTTCTACCTCAAAACTTCTCAGAGGGTCTTCTGTCACAGCCTAAGGAATTGTGGTCAGAAATGAAAAAGTGAAAAATTCTGCTGGAAACTGCAAGCCCCTCTGAGTTTTAGGGCAAGTCCTTTGGATCAGAGCCAAGGAACTGAACTGGATGCAGGACAGATTCTTCTGCAGGTATTCCCTGAGCTAAGTCTATGCCAAACCTAAATGAACAGATATACATAAAGTTGAAAAATTTCTATTGCACAGTTGGCAGCAAGAATAGCAGAACAAACATTTGCATATTTTTAAAGATAGTATCTTGAAACTAAGAAAAGCAATTAGATGTTCAACTTAGATCTGTATGATATAGATGCAATAACTAGGATTCATCAAGGAGGGTAGAAACATATCTAAAGAAGAACAGAGGATACTATATTTAACCATATTCAACTATTAATTTATCTAGTCTGTACTATTTGTGTTAAAGTTAAATCAACTATTCAAAGTTCAAGGTTTGTCCTTTCTAACCAGTGGTGGGATTCAAATACCCAAAGAACCAGTTCTCCGTGTGGATGCCATTTCCAAAAGTCCATTCTCAGCTGGGGAGACCTCCCAAGCTCAGAATGGCCCAGTGGAAGTGTATGGACCCCACTTCCAGAAATCCATTCTGAGCTGGGGAGGCCTCCCAGGCCCAGAATGAGCCACCAAATGCGTGGACGCCACTTCCAGAAGTCTGTTCTGAGCCTTGGAGGCCTGGGGGAAGCCTCCCAGGCTCAGAACAGACTTCTGGAAGTGGCGTCCACGTACTTCTGGCGGTCCGTTCTGGGCCTTGTGAAAAAGGGCTAGGGCATCAGCTGGTTTGCCGAAGTCAACAAAAAATTAGCTACCGGTTCTACCAAACCAGTGCGAACCGGCTGAATCCCACCACTGTTTGTAACTAACTATCAGGAATACAATATTGGATTTTCAACATGCAAAGCATATGTTCTGCCTTTTAACAAGTTATTCCTCAGTATTTCTTTTGATCAGCTTCAATGCATCTCCACAATGTAAAAATTGGAAATATAATAGGCTATTTGAACTGCTCATATTTGTGAAGTATGCCATATCATACTGTTGCTTGGTCTGAAATAATTTCATTGATATTCCCATAAAATACTAAATTCTTTTAAATTCATTCAGGATTACAATAGTTGTAACTTAAAACTAATGATCATGGGGTTACTCTACAGAAGTTCAAGATAAATGCAAAATGTCACCATAGCAGAATTTCTATTTCTGGAAAATGATTTGAAATAGGTATGCAAATTGTGAGAAACTTCCATAGCAGGGCATTTTGTTTAGTAATTTAGACAATTGTAGGCTCGACACAACCAAAGGGCATTAGACTGGTAAAACCAATAACAAAGGGATATTCACATGAGCCTTCCTGTGTTCCACTGAGAACAAATTATTGAGAATATACCACCTAGGAAAACAAACCAAATGCAATCCTGAATTTTTAGATACATGCACTTTTTCATCCCTTATATAGGGGACAAATTAATGAGCATTATACAGGAAAATATTGGGGACTTATTCCAGGAATTAACATTCAAAGTATAAAGAAATGATTGATACAACTCAGTAAACAGAAAAGAATTAGATAGCAGAGCAACAATTATAATAGATAAGAGTATAATCCATTGATTAGTTCCAATAGCACCTGTATCTTCTGATTTGTTGCAACCATTAATATACTGGCACTGGAGCTATATTAGAGTCACACTAAGGCAACCAAATGAGAAGTGGATTAAGAATATTTCATCAAACCATGCTACAAAAATAAAATTTCTTTTTAAAATTCTATTTTTTTTTTACAAAAACTCTAAAACATACAGACATATAATGCAGATTTAAAATATTTGTGCTAACATATCCATGTGACTTATTCATGAAGTTGGCTTTTTGATAAAGCAAATGTGAAAGGCAAAGTAGGGCAGAACAATGTTAACAAGTACGGTTTTCTAATATTTTCATATAGAAAAATAAAATCTATTGAATTATATAAAATGTCAGACTGGAAGCAAACTTGAAGCAAATGTGAAGGTGCCTGAGTTAATTGCAATCATAACATACAGGCTTGAATGTCAGCTATGAGCACCTGTTTTCTCATTGCATAATCCAATGCATGTTTAAGTAGAAGTGAGTTTCAGTAAATTAGATTCATATTTACACTGCCATACAGTATTTTCATTATTATCCCTGTGGATTTTACTCATACTTTATTGTCCCAGAGATTTCAAAGGACCAGCTTTTTATATATCTGCAGTTGAAGACAGCACATTTTGTTCAAAGTAATTTACCCTCAAGAGAAAAATGCACAGGACTGCAGATTTTTTTTTATGTGTATGTATGTGCAGAACGGGATTCAATGGGGGTTTAGTCTCAAATAAGTGGGAATAGTTTATAACCTATTACAGATTCAATTCTATACACAGCTGTGCCTCACTAAATCCAACAGGGCTTATTTTGGAGAAGATATTTTCAGGTTGTCATTTTAGTTTATGTGCACATATGTGCATATGTGGGTAAGCAAAATTAGGTGTATATATGAACACTTAATTTTTTCTTATTTCATCCTTGAATCTGAAAATGATAAAACTGAAATTCATAATTTCCAAAGTCATAGAAGTGTACCACCAGAAAAGATAAAGATGAAATGTTGTGCAGTGACTGACATAAATTTAGCGGATCACAAGAATGATCCCTGCAAATTAATTTCTTTAAAACCATCTGTTCCTTTTACCAAATGTATATTATTAATATTTGAAAATTAAGTCACAGACACAATAAAATGTCATCATCTTTCATCTCTTATTAAGGAAGGATCCTGTGGATTATAATAGCCAGATGTATCTTTTACATTTTTCTCTTAACTTTAGGGTAGAGAGATTCAAATGTCACTCTTTTAAATATTACTTCAAAAATATTTCTGAATTCACGATCAAGCAAATAAACAGCAAAACAAACTACCACCATAACTCCCAGAGGAGCATCAAGTCAAACTTCAGCACCCAGAAACAGAAATCAAGTCATGTTTTGGTAGACAGACTGAATTCTTCTAATCCAAGGTGGCACCATTCAACACTAGAAGAAAAAGGCAGCAAAACTGATCAACAGCTTCTCTCATTCTGTAGATTTCCAGATAGACTAACAAACAACAAACTACAGTGGAACCCATTTAAAGTTTTTGTATCTTGCATTGTTTCATTGTCAAAACATGCCTAACTAGGTTCTTTTCCTTGGAGAGGCAGAGCATCATTTTGAAGAACTACACAATTATGTGAAGTCTTCAATAAAGTTTTCAAACATGCAATGATGCCTTTTACCTTTAACAGTGATCTTATCAAACTACTTTGTTCATCCTTAGATTAGCCTGATAAAGCCTTACAGTGAATTCATCTCTGTGGAGTTTTGACTGGAGGACACATCAGAATCTGTATTCTCTTTGTATTTCTCCAAGTCATGAAAATAAGGATGGGTTAAGGCATCATAAGCTGATATTCTCTTCATAGGATTGAATGTCAGACATTTCTGTATAAGATAGAGAAAATAATTAGTAGCGGGCAACACTCTGACTGATCCAGCAACACACTTTTTCTACTGCTGGCCAAAAAACGTAACAAGAAAAGGCAAGGATTTATTAGATAATTATCTTTTTAAGATATAGTCAAAGTTTTTGTCTATGTTGTCATCACCATTGCTTTTAAGAGGAGCAGCATGTAATTAGTCTTGAGTTATTGAAAAAAGCTATGCAGAATCAAGTCCAGGTAATACTTGAAAGAGAGACCAACAGAAAACCACAGAATTTTAGATTAGATTGGAAAATTAGTGAGAAAAATCAATAGTAAACTGTTTGAATACAAGTAGTTCTCAATTTTCAATCATTCATTTAACAACTGTTTGATGTTACAATGTGCTGAGAATAGTGACAACCAGTCCTCGCACTTACAATCATCACAGTATCTTTATGGTCATGTGACCAACATCCAGGTGCTTGCCAACTGGCATGTATTTACAACAGTTGAAATGTCTTGGGTTCACATGACTGTCATTTATGATCTTCCCAGGGGGCTTCCCACAAAGTCAGTAGGGAAAGCCAGATTCACTTAACAATCATGAGATTCCCTTAATGATTGGAGCAATAAAGTCATAAAATTGGGACCAATTTATTTAACAATCATCACTTAGCTATGAAAGTTTCAATCCCAATTGTGATTGCAAATCAAAAACTACAAGAAAACTTACAAGAAAACTACAGACTCACTAGGAGTCAAATTCATCTTGAAGATGACTATACTTCATCATTAACATTATTAATAAATGTACTAAGTAAAATCCCAATGACACATCAGTTCTGAAGTATTAAGTGTTATTATTCTACCAAGAAAGAGATATATATTCTACAATGAAAATTCTATGGGATACATTTCATTTGCTCATCAGTTTCTTAGATGATTAATATATATGTGTTGCATCAGTAACATTTAGTTTCATGCACTATTGTATGTAGTACAGTTATTACACAGGTTATTAAATTACAATAAATTCTGATTTGATTGATATGATCTCACTTCTCATAAGTATTGCAATTATTCTATCTGAGATTTTTTTTGTTAATGTGTATAATTTGATCTGTGAAAAAGAAAATTATTTTGCTCCTAGACTTGTTGAATGAATTTCAGAGATAAAATCATGGTGCCATTAATAAAGTATCTAAATGCTGTTAAATTATTTCAAATGGAACATGTCCGCTTTTAAAGTATTTCTTAGGAAAACCAGACATCATAAAAGTATTCCTTCATTTATATTAACAGAAACCAATGTAGTAACACCCCAAGATATGACGTCAAAATGGCACACTGGGAGCCTGGTTATAGTCAATATGATGCAAATTATTTAAGAATGCAAAGAGAGAACATTCAGTTACTGATAGGAATTTTTTTATATAACTAAGCCTATTTATTCCAGAAAGGCTTAAGTAAAACCATAATCTGATCTTTTCAACGCCATCTTTTATTCTGTCTAACATTCTCCTTCTTCTCCAAACCCTAATACAGTGGGCTGTTATTGAGGGCGAAGAAAATTTTTGAGGAGGTTCTAGCAGGGAAATGAAGCTATTGTATACCCATGGCTGTAGATCCACTAATTCTATTTGGGATAATGCAGCCTAAAGTTGCCTTTGGCAAGAAGAAGGGCACAAAGTTTAATAATAAAAACAAATAAATATTTTTTTCAGAGCATTGTGTGATTGCTGGGTGTTTTTGGTTTATTCTGTGGAGTGAAGGTGAATATGTGGCTTTAGATTTGAGATCCTTATCTCCTCTCAAAATTTATATTTAGGGATATTTCTTGCTATATCCCAAGCACTTTTAGCTTTTATTTGATACTGGAGAGACTTCTTTCTCAGCTCAGCAGCAGACAATTATATATATTGTTGACGTTTTTATTCCATGATAGACTACTTATTTCTAAAAATTTACTATTACAGATACTTACAATTAGCAAGTCTTTGCCCAGTTCATCAATATCTGTTACAAGAAGTTCAATGGGCTGTGGGGATTGAGAGGCAAAAGCATTCCTTGGGAGGGCAACATCAATAGGCCAATCTTCTTCGTCAGGAAGACCAATTACTCTGTACAGAAGACAAGAACAAGCACTTATTCTTACAATGTTTGTTTCAGTATCTGATGATGATTCTCAATTGTGAATTTTCATTCACTTATTTAAGAGGTTTTAATATAAAATTGTAAAAGCACCTTACATTAAATGCTTTCTTTTAAAATGACAACTGAAATAATAAAACCTCAATTAGAAAGCAAACAAAATAGACTGTTTTAGAGCAGGGGGTCCCTAACCCCCAGTCTGTAGACTATTACCATTCCTCAGCCTGTTGGCAACCTGGTGACACAAGTGACGAGTGAGCAAGGGAAGCTCCATTTGCACGACTTGCATGTGCACGCAAAACCATCCCCTTCCCCCCACTGATGATTGCTGAAACCGGAGAGTTTGGGGACCACTGTTTTAGAGCATTCATAAAAATGTTACAAATGGTGCCAGCATTACACATTTTGGAAATGAGTTCTGTGGAACTAGAGTTACCAATAAGAGAGTCTTAACTTAAATGCCTCCCTAACTCTGATGTTAATGTTGAGTTAGTCAATTCCCCAAAGATGATCTCATAGCATAGATGGGTTTGGAGTTGGGCTGATGCCCTTTAAATAGTTTAGGAAGAAATATTTGTCTCATGTCCAAATTATCTATATATGCTTCCCTGGAATGTTAAATTATTCTTTATGTTAAACTTTTTGTTAGAAAATCAGTTTGAAGATTTGAAATAGGAGTATCTGTAGTTTCTCATAAATGCAAAGAAACAATAGTGTGGTTAACACCATCAATATTAAACAATATTCAATGTACACTGCACCTTATAATATACACCGGGAAGTGCTGGTTTCCAAATAATATACAGTCTAAAATTGGGATTGGTAAAGTAATAATGGAAATAGACAAACTGAAATGTGTGTGCTCATTCATATAATTAAAAATTTGCTTGAGGTGGCAACTGAGAATTTAAAGAACAACTCAAAAGCTTTATAAAAGGCTCTGAAAAAATAAAAAACAAACGTGGCATCTATCAGATGGAAAAGTTAGCTACTTAGTTCTCATTTCACTTCTTTTTAAATGCAATACATAGACTTTATAGTAGCAATTAATATAGTTATGTCAGATGGTTTGGAATTAAAAACCTGTGCCACCAGGGTGCAGCATCCCCCAGATTTTAATGATTTCTTTTTTGCTATGAAATGTATTGATGGTATTGTGAAGACACTATCAGTGGAAGATTTGTCATTTGGCAGACAATGTGCCAATTTTGACTACCAAATAGCCACATGAAGCTTCACTGATGGTTGTCAGTACTGAAAGAAGACTGCAGGATAAGCAGGAGATCTGCTTCTTTGAACCACACAATACTTTCTCTAGAAAGCTCTCTGGAAATAAATTAGCATTGCCATCTACTTTCCTTTTTATAGCTAGCTTTACTGTAAGAAATTTGTTTATGTCAATGAAATAAAAGATTGAATACTTTACAAAATTTCACTTATAAAATTTTAGATCTTAAGTTCAAACTACTACAGTACATAGCACAGCAGACATACTGCCGTTAGATTTTTACACAGTGCATTTATAATTTATATACACTGAATATCCTTAGATCCAAGAACATTCATTTTTATTGCATGATGGCCTTGGAATATAGTACTTTGCTTCTATAAACCAGAGCTCACTAACCTTTCTTGGTTGGCAGATAGGAAAAAAGGGGGGGAAAGCATTTTATGCATGTGCGCATGCGTGTACACGCATGGGGCCGCAAGCATGTGTGCGACACAAACAGTGCAGGGCTAGTGCTTACGTGATACTCGCTAGCCCTGCCCCGTTCTTGTGCACAGTGCTGTTCTGTGCTTTGAGGCGTGGCATTGGCCCGTTTTTGTACCACGCAGCATCCTGTTTTTGTGCCTCGTGGCCCAGCGGTGGGTCATTTTTGTGCCCTGCAATGCAGTGGCATCCCATTTTTATGCTCCGCGGCGGCAGCCCTTTTGCACCCCGCAGTGCGGTAGTGTTCCATTTTTGCACCCTGTGGTGACCTGTTTTTGCGCCCTGCGGCTACACTAACACAAGTAGGGGTGTGCGCGCGCACACATGCACGAACTGGCTAGCAGCATGGTCCAGTGGCCAGCAGCCCATGGCCCACTACCGGGCCGTGGCCCACAGGTTGGGGACCCCTGCTATAAACCATCCAAAATAAATTAAACAAATGAATCTGAATTATATATCAATTGGGCACTCTCCAGTTGGACTGAATTATAACTCTCATCACTCCCAGTCACTGGCATGAAAGAAGTTGCAACCTATACACCTGGAAATGCTGACCTGAAGAAGAATATTTGGATAAAAATAATGAAAATGGTAATAAACTTTATATTATATCAACTGTAAAAAAGAAGGTACATTCTTTTCTTCATTATATACTGCTTACATGGCTTCATGTATGATAAGTATTTCCTTGATTAGCATATTCCAATATGTAGAAATTGTGATGAAATCCATCTTAAAATATATGTAACATTTTCATTAAAAGAATTACTATAGGGTACAGCGGAAACATTTGTACATAAGAAAAATCACTACGAACTTTAGAAAGCTACAATTGCATTTAATTGCATTTTTTTCTTGCAAGAAATCTGTATAATAAAAAATACTCAAATTGGCATTTGCTTTTCCTGATTATTATATAAATTCTTTCCTGTGCAGGTTGTTGCATTGAACAGAAACACACAAAACAGGTATATTCCTGCTAACATTCTTGCCCTGGACATTTACTGATCAGAAATACCATAATGTGTCATTTTATTAACAAAAAACAAATCAAATCAGCAAGACTACATGCTTCTTGTATTATAAGAATAAATGCATTGATGCTAGATACAAATGAACTACGATGCCAGATTCTGGAAAACCAAACCACTTGAGCCTGACTTTTTTAAAAAAAAGTTGCACAGGAAAAACTATTTGGTGCATGACAAATTAATCATATTGATGATTCACATACAATGGTGTAAAATACAGGAAGTGGAAGCCAAAACCAACAATGGAAAATATTCAATTCAAAATAAAATTATCTAGGAAATATGTGTGTGTGTGTGTGTATACACATACACACCACCTTTACTATTTGTATAAATAACTCAAGGCAACAAAATATCAAAGAAACCTTCCTCTTCCTGTTTCCCCAAAAACAACAATCTGGTGAGGTAGTTTGGATTGAAAGAAAGTGACTGGCCCAAAATCACCCAGCTAACTTTCATGGCTAAGGAGTCTTTCATGGCTAAGGTCTCCTGCTTTCTAGGCTAGTGCCTTTCTAGCCATTAGCCCAAACAAGTGTTTCCTTTTTGCTGCTTTTTTTTTTAAAGTAGAAAAAAGCTTCCCAAATGAATCAATCTAGTCTTGACTCAGAAGGAATGATGCCTATAAAGAGGAGATAGGCAGACAGACATGGTTTTTTAATAATATTTTATTGATTTTCTAATTTTACAATTAAACATTTAAAAAGTAATGTGGTGACTGGGTAATCAGTGATTCCATGACACACATAAATCTTTAGCACAAATCTCAAGTTACAACATCAGATATTTCTTCTCTTTATCCCTTAATATCTACTATCTCATATTGAATTAATATAATTTTTATTGTTACCAACTAAGTAATGATGATGATGATGATGATGATGATGATGATGATGATGATAAAGTTGGAAGGGACCTTGGAGGTCATCTAGTCCAACCCCCTGCTCAGGCAGGAAACCCTATACTATTTCAGACAAATGGCTGTCCAGTCTCTTCTTAAAAACTTCCAGTGTTAGAGCATTCACCACTTCTGGAGGCAGGTTGTTCCACTGGTTAATTGTTCTAACTGTCAGGAAGTTTCTCCTTAGTTCTAGGTTGCTTCTCTCTTTGGTTAGTTTCCACCCGTTGCTCCTTGTCCTGCCTTCAGGCGCTTTGGAAAATAGCTTGACTCCCTCTTCTTTGTGGCAGCCCCTGAGATATTGGAACACTGCTATCATGTCACCCCTCGTCCTTCTCTTCGTTAAACTAGACATACCCAATTCCAGCAACCGTTCCTTATATGTTTTAGCCTCCAGTCCCCTAATCATCTTTGTTGCTCTTCTCTGTACTCTTTCTAGAGTCTCAACATCTTTTTTACATCGTGGTGACCAAAACTGGATGCAGTATTCNTGTTAGATAGCGCCCAGTGTTCAAGTCTGTCCAGATCCTCCTGTATCCTAAGCCTGTTTTCTGGAGTGTTGGCTATTCCTGCCAGCTTGGTGTCGTCTGCAAATTTGATGAGTTCCCCATCTATCCCCTCGTCCAGATCGTTGATGAAGATGTTGAAGAGCACTGGGCCCAGAACAGAGCCCTGGGGCACCCCACTACACACTTTCATCCATGTAGATGTGGTTCCATTGAGGACCACACGCTGAGTATGGCCGGTCAGCCAGCTACGGATCCATCTGGTGGTGATGCTATCTAACCCACATTTTTCTATCTTCTCAAGTAGTAGGTTGTAGTCTACTTTGTCAAATGCCTTACTGAAGTCCAAGTAAATTATATCCACAGCATTCCTCTGGTCCACTAATTCTGTCACTTGGTCAAAGAATGCAATAAGATTTGTCTGGCATGATCTGTTTTTGAAAAACCCGTGTTGGCTTTTAGTAATGACTTTGTTTGCCTGTGTTTGCTGATTCGTTGTTTGATTATCTTTTCCAGAATCTTCCCAGGTATTGAGGTCAGGCGGATAGGTCTGTAATTTCCTGGGTTCTTTTCCCCCCCTTTTTTGAAGATGGGAACTACATCAGCTCTTTTCCAGTCCTCCGGTAGTTCCCCAGTGCTCTAGGATCTCTGAAAAATATAGTTCAGTGGTTCTGAGATCACATCTGCCAGTTCCTTAAGAACCTTGGGGTGTAATCCATCTGGTCCTGATGATTTGAACTCGTCTATGCTGGACAGGTGTTCACTTACCATTTTCTTGCCTATCTTAACTTGTATTTCTATTTTGTTTTTTATGCCACTATTTTTG